AGAGAGAGAGAGAGAGAGGAAACGTGTTGTTAAGAGAATCACTTTCCATACGATAATTAATTTAAGTGTATTTTTCTCTTCTCTCCGAAGAGAAAACTCTTATTTATTTGAAGCGCAGCTCAGGTTTGGTCGCCAGTCGTAAGTCATCCGTCCATCAGAACGGTATACAAAGTGACATTCATTTGCTGTTTTTTGTCTTCAGTTTTCAGTATTAAACACTTGAGATGAATATCAAAAGTGAGTCTCTATTTTAGGCAAATTTTTTCAAACTTTAAACATTAAGAATATTAAAGAATTTTATTATTTTAAATAATAAATAAAGTTTAATTTAAAATAAATTTTGTTATAATATGTGGTTTATCTCCCGAAACAGTCATCTTAAGCGTGATTTTAGTGGTCGTATTGATTGGCCAATCGGACGCCCAGAAGAAGAATAACAGACGGCGTAACCGAAACAAAAAGGACCAATGTCACTTACGAGAAGCAGAGGCCTGTGTCAACAAAATGCAAGATCTCGGTAAAGGCAAAGACCCGACCTCTCTCATCGCCACTGCCGCTGGTTTGGACAAGATTTGCAAGTATGACAGCAATCACTCATTTATACTCCCTTTGTATTAAATACTGTCTTTTATTTTTGACTTTTACCTCAAATTCTCATTGATTTGTGAAGTTTTCATTTAAATTAATTGCTAGAGTTTTAAATAATCTTGGTCAATTTTAATATGATTTAAGTTCTAATTATAACTTTATTGAAAACTTTTTCAATTAAATAAATTGCTTTAAAAACTTTTAGAACCATAAGAGAGGACACATTGAAGTGCGTGAAAGCGTACGGCAAAAAGTGCGGAACACCTCTTCACAGAGAGGTCTTGGATCTGGTTTTGGATCAAATGACCGGTCGTTTGAACAAATTCTGTAAAGCAGACAATCCCGACAGAATTGGTGAGTGTCTATCAACCAAACTATAAGTTACACCAATTTTGCTAACAGAGGGATTGACAATAAAATACACATTGATTTGAATGAATGAACAGATTTCCTGAAGGAGAGCCCCTGTATTCACAAGAAGGTGTTGAGCACTGAGGAGTATAAGAAGGGCTGCAACAATAACTTCTTGGCGTCCGTGGATCAGGTGGACGACACAGTGACCGGCAATAGCGACGACTCTCACGCCCGCATGTGTTGCGGTTACTCCGTATGGTATGACTGCACCACCAAATTGATCAAGGACAAATGCGGCGAACTGGCCATCAAGAACTACGACAAGTTTATGGGCGGAGTGTTCGGCACACTGACCAACATGGCGTGTCCGGCGGAGCTGTTCCCGGCCCAGTCCGACCAGTGCCAGAAGTTGAAGCCGGCGCCGGGCACTAAGGCCAAGGGCAAAGTCGGCGACAACGCTCTCACCAAATACATCACATCCATGTTCTCATTCCTCTTCATTACTGACCAGTAATACTATAGGATTGACCGCACGATTCACTTGACCGGCTCCTACCCCGACGACTGACCCCACACTTTGATATAACGGTTCAACGATTAACAGAATATTCTTGTATAATATTATGTTTATTTTTTAACTTTATATTTTTGCATTATTTGTATTTAAAAAATCCCGAATTTTGTTTTACTATTTTAACTTTTTTACTATTTTTTAATGATTTTAATCAACTATTTTGTAATTAAGGTTTAGTACCTTATAATTAGTGTAGACTTAATTTGTATGAATGGCTGTATATTATAAACCGCGCGCGCATTGTATTTATTATTCATTGAAACTCTAAATAATGATTGAAAATAAAAAACGATTTTTTCAAAGAAATTTACATTTTTGTCAAATTATTATTCAAAAGATTTTCATTTTTTTCCACATTAAACTTTGCATTTCTATAAATAGTTGTAAATTGTCCTTGTTGTCAATTGCTATGCTCTCTTATGGTTCTAAAAGTTTTTGAAACAATTCATTTAATTGAAAAGTTGTCAACAAAGTTATAATCAGAGCTTAAATCATATTAAAATTGATCAAGATTATTTAAAAGCTCTTATGACTTATTCCTACAGAAATTAACATAACTTAAAACGATTGAGCGATGCGTTCACTTTCGACAGTGATTTTCCCCGAAGTAATAGTTAATTATCCCAACCTTTTCATACAAATCGTACCTCTCTTTTGAAGGTCATTATCTCACTTAATAGGGGTATAAATTGCTGGCATATAATGGCATTTGGATTTGATGTGTCGTTTTGTGATGCAAGTGGGCGTCCAGTTAACAGACCCCCCAATCATATGATATGTGAAATTAAGTATTGTTTTTTGCAATTCAATTGTAATTGTGTTTACTTTACAAAACTCTTTAAACACTTGAAGATATACTGATATACTCAGGGTCTGAATGTCCTAAACATGTATTAAGAATGATTGTAATACTTCTAATATATGGTACATGGACACTTTCGCATACGGATCTAAGCATGGCCATTTATTTAGAACAATACTTAATTAATATAATCAGTTAGGGATTAATAAAGGGTTATAAACTATAATTAACAATTATTTGCAATGAATTTCCATGAAATTCCGTAATATTCCCAAAGAATTAATACATAAAATATAAAAGTTAACTAGATTTTTCCATCCCTAACCTAAACCCCTGAAACCCCCTCAACAACAATATACGTAATAAAGCGGATAATAATCGCCTCTAATGTTGAGACATACCTCTAATTATAGACTTTTTGTTTTGTTTTATTTCGAGAAAAAATTTTCTATGAAATCATTTGCAACGAAATTAACTTTTTCTTTCTTAATTTGCTTGTGTTTTGTTCCCACAAGTGATTCACTATATATTTTGACAGATTTTTTCTCCTAAACTATATTTTAAAGGTAACCTTTGAAATAATGTGCTCTCTCTCTCTCTCTCTCTCTCTCTCTCTCTCGTTGAACCGTTATATCAAAGTGTGGGGTCAGTCGTCGGGGTAGGAGCCGGTCAAGTGAATCGTGCGGTCAATCCTATAGTATTACTGGTCAGTAATGAAGAGGAATGAGAACANTCTCTCTCTCTCTCTCTCTCTCTCTCTCTCTCTCCCCTCTCCCTCTCTCTATTTCGTTGGCAATTTGATGGATCGATTCGCTCATAAGATTATTAAAAAATGTATTTTAGAAATACTTTTACTATAATTTCTTTTACATTATTCAAGAAAATGCATACATTTCTAGAGGCAGTTGTGATGCAAAACACTATTAGACAACGAATATTACGCTCTTATGACTTATTCCTACAGAAATTAACATAACTTTAAACGATTGTATTTTTATTTGTTTTTTCACAGATTTCTGTAATAAAACTAATTCAAAGGAAACGATCAAATGATCACTCGATTGGTGTTGTGTCACAAATGGTTGTCACAAAATGCAGTCAATCTGGTTTTGTCCTCTTCTTCTTGTTATCATTGTTTCACATTTCAGAGTCAATAAAAAACCTCTCTCTCTCTCTCTCTCTCTCTCTCTCTCTC